ACAATAGTATTACACCAAAAATTTAGATTATAGTTAATTTTAATCAAGCGAGTTCTCTATCAATTTTTAAATTAACAGTTAAATATAACAATAATGATCATTCCTATGACCTAAAAATGTTTTGCTCAAAATTAAATTTTTAAAATATTTTCTTACATGGAATTTTAAGTGCTACAAAATGTATATAATTTGTGACTATCTTTTATATTTTTGAAAAAAAATAGATTTAATGATATCACGATTTGCCTGATTTTCGACTTCAAAGACATATATTTTTAGATATGGTTTAGCTAGCTTTCTGAAATTAAAATTTTATAAAAAGTCAATATAAACGAAAATATCATAAGTTTTATTTTACTAAAGAGTATCCTCCGATAACTAAATATGATATAATTGATACATAAAATTAATAGAAAGTGGTAAATTCCATAAGTAGTTTTTCGGCCTTAAGTTAGTGGAATGAGCTATGTCCACCTTGCTCATTAAGAAGACGAATATTTTACTAACACTTCCTAGTTATACTTCTTTAGAATGAAGTTAATCTGTTTGGAATAACAATCATGCGAAAAACCTAAATCGATTGAAGATCTCAACAACAGCTAAATTGGCAAATGTAGACCCTAACCTAAGATAACACTATATAAAATTATTTATTGAACCGACCACATTCATTTAAAACATTTTAATTCATTTTTAATAAAAGGAATTTTTTTATTTTTTCGAAATTGAGGTGCACCTTTTCTATTTTATTATATCATAAGTTTTTTTAAAAGCAAGGGAAGCATTGCAAGTGCGTAACTAACGGAAGGGGAGTTGGGGGAATTCCCCATCCTCACTATCGCAAATTTGCCTGTTCTCGTAAATATCATTTCAAACTAATAAAAATATCCCCTCTACACACACCTCCACCCTTAAGTATAACACTATAAGGAAGAATTTGTAAGAAAAATTAATAAAAGTTGATAACTTTTAAAAATAACGACTATAATTTAAAATTTTTAGAAAAACATTTTTATAAAAAAAAAAGCTATGCTCCATATTTATTTTTATAAAAATCTAATTTAGCCAAATGCCTACTATAAGTGAAGCTAAAGATCTCCAATATAATATATAAGTAAAATCTACCAAGGTGCCCCCCCCCCCAGCAAAATCCTGGATACGTGTATATGAAGCTTTGATATTAATTATGCTATATTAATGTAACATTTTTATTTTAAATTTTTATACCCAAAGATGGTTCCACTGACTCAGACAGAATATAGGATAACTGGTAACTTATTTGCAATTTGCTAAAATCTTAATATATGTTTTATATATTGGTGCATTTTGAATAAGAGATGATTTTTTGACTTGGTCCTCTCATATTTAAAAAAATATACGTGTGAAAGTATCGATGGTAACTAAGAAAAATATAAATAAAACTTAGATCTCAACTCCACCCATCCCCTAAGAGAAAGAATAAAATAAATTTTAAACTTCTCTTTTCTGCTGATATATTTAAATTTTATATAGCTGAACTACTTAAATATCCTTAATAAAATATTTTCGCTTAATTTTAGGGTTGGTTTTTGATGAGTAAAAATTCAAATATTCATAGCTTTAACATTCACTCTGATGTTTAAAACTTAAAAAAGATGACTCATAAAATACTCAAACATCCAGTACAATTCATAAAAAATGTGATTATGCATATAAGAAAAATATTATATTTTTGTAATATTTAGTTTTATGTAGGGCAACTTTGACCGGGATTTAGGTTTATTCAATGTCAAATCCACCAATATTTGGCCGACCACTATCGATTTTTATGAATTGTATATAAACTAAAGTTCTTGTAACTATTTGGACAAAATTTTTGCCTCCTTGTTATATTTTTGAAAATGGAACGTTTAACATTTATTGCTCATATCAATTTACAAAATAACCAAAATTATTGCAAGTGACAAAATTTTAAAATCACTAGCCTGGCCGTTAATTGACCGTAAAATTCGGTCGGGCCATAAAATTCCCAGCTGGGTTTGAAAAGAAAATGTTTTAAAAATTCAGGCCAGTCTGAGCTTCAAATGAATTTTTTTTTAAAAAGCAAAGTATCAATCAAAAAAGTAAAAGGTCCAATCAAAAAGAAAAGTATTAATCAAATACCAAATAAAGGAAAAGTATCATTCACGAAAAAAAATTCATTTTTTTAAATATTTGCCTTCTTTTATTTATACTAACTTTTTGCGATCTCTTTAGTATTTATTTTACTTAATCTTTTCTCTATTTTTTTCTTCTCATTTTTGATTGTATTATTTATTTTTATGTCAATTCTTTTTCCTTTTTTCATCCTACATAATAATTTTTTGACTTTATAAAAAAAATTCCTTATATTTTTATTTTTTATATTTCACTTAATTTTTATTTCTTTGTGGCAATCGATTTTTTTTAAAATACTTTTTGCAAATAAAATTATTTCACCACAATTGCTAAATTTTGGTTATAATGTTAATTTTAAAATTAAATAAATTTGAACTATAAAACCAATCTATAGGTAAATTAATAAATCACTACCTCTGAGCAAGTATTTTTTTAATAATAATTCTGAATATTATATTCTTTGATCTATAACATAAAAATGAGGTAAATATTATAATCTTTCATTTTTGTCATTCATTCCATTTGATGAGTGTATCTTTCAAATTTTTTTTATTTGTTTTATAAAATAAAATCACCAAGACATGGTAGCAAAGTAACAAGGAAAAAAAAACATTAATAGTGCAACAAAAGCTCTAATAATTGACGCTTTAAAAAAGGATAGTATCCTAAATATTGCATCATGTTTTAAAGGAACCTATTAATTTGGGACAAATATAAAAGACTCCCATCTCAACAATGGAATAAAATATAGTTTACCAAAAGGAGGCTGCTCATTTGCACTCAAAAGATTAAATCAAGAACAGGAAGAATTATATTAAATTGTATAAATTTGGATGACACTTAGTTATGTGAAATGATTAAAAAAATATATAATGTAGAAATATCAGAAACGGCCTTATTTTAATTTTTTTAAATATACCTGGGCTTGGCCTATTTTTTTAAAATACCCAAGCCGAGCCGTATATTTTAAAACCGAATATTTTAAATCGCCCTTATTAGCTATAAAAATTAAGAATAAATATAATATTTTAAAAAAATGCGGGGCAGGCCTTGCGAATGGTACCCTGCAGGTCTCTGAGAAATGTCAAAAAATGTGGTATAAAGGTAATATCTGGATTTAGGTGTAGATTTAAAAGGGTATCACAGATTCAGTTAGGATACCGAATCAAATATCTAGATTCGCAAAGAATACGCGAATAATTTGTGGATGTTATGAAAGAAACATCTATTTTTATCCATAGAGCGGTTTTTAATATCAATGAGATGGTTATATGGACATGAATAAAATAAAAGGCCTATTAAAAAAGTTCAAGCGATAAATACACTGAATTGTTCTTGATGACCCCTGCAAGGCTATACACTTTAATCACTTTGTAAATGAAATACCAAATCATATTGAAGAAAGAAATATGATGAATATGATTTTTTTTATGGATAATATTTCATTTCTTCATAACCATACAATTAGAAAATCGATAAAAAGGAACGGACCATACAATAAAATATTTATCACCGTACACCCATTATCTCTTTGTAAATGTATTTTTTCAATGGAAGATTTTGTCAGAATCCAAATCCTAATATATAACGATGATAATTCGTTTTATAAAGCACGAGAAGGGAGGAATATCTGAGGAGAATGCAAAGAATTTTAATATAGTGACCTATATTCCAAAATGTAGAAGAGAGGAAATTATTTAGGATAATATAAATTTTTGTTTCTTACTATATAGTATATGTCGTAATTTTAAAAGGGATCAGAACTATCCGGGATCATCACGGGTTTTAAAGGGATCCCTTTAAGAATTTAATTTTTTAAAGGATAAAGAATTATACGATATTATCACGTTTGAACCATAATAACGAGCGTTTTGCTTTATTTTTTTAAAAATTTTATTGTTATTTATTTTAAGTTTTTTGGGGGGTTTATTTAAGTAGATATGTCGAATATAGGGTAGCAATCGAAAGCTAATCAAAAGATCTATTCAACTAGAGTACAATATTTCACCATTAATGGGATAGTCTAGGTTGGGGGGGGAAGGGGTCAGGAATTTATCAAAATAAAATATCATATGGGTATCAAATAATAGCTAATTGAAATATCTTTTGACTCGAAGTATTCATTATTGGTCTTTGGGTAGGTATGACATAATCTGAAGGTGGATGGAGGGGGGAGGGGGTAAAAAAATAATTTTTTTGATATGGGTATCAAATAAAAGGTAATTATTTTTTTTTTATTGTAATAATAATCACTTTAAGCGGGCGGGTCTAGGGCTTGATGGGAGTCCGGAATATTTTATCAACACAAAATATCGATATGGGTCAAATAATACCTAATTTAAATATCTTTTGACACTGGAAGTATTTATTATTGGTCTTTGGGTAGGTATGACTTAATCTGGGTGTAGACTGAGGGGGGAGGAAGTAAAAAAATAATTTTTTTTGATATATGTATCAAATAAAAGGTAATTAAAATATTTCTTGATTGTAATAATTATACTTAACTAAGCGGGAGGTCTTGTGTGGTCAAAAATATTTTTATATATACAAAATATTTAAATATCGTTTGACTTAAATTTTATTGATTTGTGAACGTTCGTTTTTAAAAATGGGGAATCAATTTTTCCCAAATGGGTTCCAACCCATAGTTTCTCGCCCTCTATTTAGATAATTTTGGCTTCAATATTTTTGGAGCATAGATTTAATTTATCATATTTATTTAATATTTTGGGTTCATAAAAAATTTCCTTACCCTCCAAGACCGAGTCCATTTAGAGTAATTATTATTAAAATCAAAAAATATTTTAATTACCTTATATTTGATACTTATATCACATAAAATTATTTTTTGCCCCCCCCCCCAAGGCGAAGTCATACCCATCAAGACCAAGGATGAAGGCTTTTAGTCAAAAGATATTTAGATTAGATTTTATCTACCTATATCAATATTTTGTGTTGATAAAAATATTCCTGACCCTCCAAGACCTAGACCCGCCAGCTTAAAGTGATTATTATTATTACAATAAAAAAATTTTTTAATTACCTTATATTTAATACCCATATCAAATAACTTTATTTTTTGCACCACCACACTCCACCACGCACCCCCAACACGAAGTCATACTCCTCAATAGTGTTGTTAAACGGCTCGAACTCAATATTTCAGCCACAAAAATATTGCCTAAGTCTCAAGATTTCGATAATATATGTCTAAACCTTTGTTCCTTCTATGAACAAAATGTCAATTAGATATGGTTATAATGATTATATATAGTTATGATTAATATAATGTTTGGTGAAAGTTAACACTAGCTAACACTCATACAGCAGAAGATAAAATACATTATTATATATTATGTTATATTTTTATTAATTAAAATATCAGTTTTATTTTTTTTATAAATACATAGTATATTCTCAAAATATTATTTACACAAATTTTTAATAGTATCAATTTGTAATATTCTAAATATTTGTTTAGAATAAAAAAAATAAAATATGTAGTGTTGTTAAACGGCATTTTTAAAAACGGCTAACTCAGTTTTTTATCCAGAAAAATATTATGCAAGCCTGAAAATTTTGCTCATGGGGGGAACAAAGGTCTAGACATATAGTATTGAAATTTCGAGGCTTAGTCAATATTTTTCTGGCGAAAATATTGAGTTAGCCGTTTTTAAAAATCGGCTCAAAACGAGCCGTTTAACAACATTAGCTAATATACTTGCTTATTAAATGATAATACTCGCCGAAAAATATGAAAAAATACGAAATAAATAAATTTTTGTATATACCAGGTCGAATATAATTTAAAAAAATTCCGAGCCGTGCCTAAAAAAATTTTTTTTTAAATCCAGGACGGGCCTGCCCCCCCCCCCCCAAATTTTTTTTTTAATATACGGGCCGGGCCTGGCCTAAAATTTTTAAACCCGGGCCGGGCCGTAAAAAATTTTTGAAAAAAAATCCGAACCGGGTCTGGCCGAGAAATTTTTAATCTGGGCCGGGCCGTGTCGTGCCATACAAATGGTACCTTTGTAGGTCTCTGATTGATAACAAATAAAAATATTTTAAAAATAAACGATTTTCTTATTTTGATTGATATTTTCCATTTCTCTTTGACTTTTCATTTCTTAATTTACATTTTCTTTTTCTTTGGGACTTTTCCTTTTTTGATTGTACCTTTTCCATTCTTGATTGGACCTTTTACTTTTTTGTTTGGCACCTTTCCTTTTTTGATCGGACTTCAACCTCTTTTTTGATTGGCACTTATCCTTTTATGAGTGGACCTTTTCTATTTTTGTTTGACACTTTTCCTTTTTTGATCGGAATTTTCGTAAGCCTTTGGTACTTTTCCTTGAGATACCTTTCCTTCTTTGAGCGGACTTTTTTATTTTTTGATTGAACCTTTTCCCTTTTTGATTGACATTTTTTCCTTTTTTAGCTGACCTTTTCCTTTTTTGAATGGGAATCCCTATATTTAAAACTTTGATTAAGACTTGCAAGTGTGAATAATGTATTTAGTAAATAAAGCATATACTTCCGAACAATATTTAAAAACCCCATACAGAAGAGTTGCTTAAATTAAAATGTTTACTCATTACAATTACCAATATGTACAAAAAAAGTTAAAGATAATTTTTACTACAACAATGAAATAATCAATAAAAACAGTAAAAAAAATCAGAAATGTTTTTTATACTTTAGATAGAGTGTTATATTCTATCGCTTAATTGGTTAATAATGTTCATATATATATTTTATAGAATAATATAAAATTTAAAAGATTCCGAACACCACATTTTCAATGCCTGGCCTGTGGACGGGGCTTTGGATACTAGTTAGTAATAGGGTCTAACTGCAGATCCATAACATAAAAATCAGTCAAAAGCTCATTTATTAATTGATTTTTTTCTACTATCAATTGACAAAAATATTTATGGCTTATAAATACTGGAGACCTGCACAATGCAGCCAACTAGCCAGCCTTAAATTACAAAATAAAACTATAAAAAGTTAAAAATGAAATAAATTTATATTAAAGAGTTGGATTTATGCTATAAAATAAATTTTTAAAATATTTTTAAAAAATCCAATGCACAAGTTATGCAATTTATATATATTTACTCAGCTTGAATTAGCCATAAAGATTTTATATAGGTTATCTAGTTTATATGTAAATATCTTTATCGTATATTAAATTCTTCTAAGTTTAAATTTTATATCATGACTGGCTGGCAGAGCTATGGAGATCTCAAATACTTAAAATACTACATTTGATTTTATGCCATATAATTATGCTAGAGATTTGCACTATATTCCAAAGCCGATCCCACATCATAAGCCTCGTCATAGATAAATAATATTGCTCATTTATTATAAATTTTTATTGATATTACTTAAATGTCATAAAAATAGGGATTCAAACCGAACCATTAAACCGGTATTGACTTTTATTATTTACCAAACCTGAGCCCTTAATAAATTTGTCACCCGAACCTTAACTGTACCTCTAAAAATGCTTATGAGCCGGGTTTAAGCGTAAGATGATTAATAATCAATTTTGTTGTCTGATAAATATCAGTAATTATTTTAAGATATTTTTATATCGGTACTAGCTACTTAAGTTAGCATATAAGAAGTGTTCTAAGCAGGGATCCGGAACAAGGGAATTTTTGCTTTCCAGTTTCGGTCAAAAAATTGTTCCGTTCCATTTCACTTATCGGAAGTTTCTAGAAATATATCTAAATATATTTTTTAAATCGACACATTTTAATCTTTATTTATTTATTAAATAAATCAATTATTATATCGAAGCAATTATACATTTTCTAAAAGATTAACATTTATGTGTTGGTATAAATTTGAGCGTTAATAAACAACGTTCAACACTTACCTGGCTACATGGAGTTGTTAATACGATTGGGCTTCATTCAGGATAGAATTTTTTATTTTATTGGATTCCCGGTAGAATATTCTTTTTATAAGTTTTGCTATATTTTTCTTTTTATCCTTGGACCTTAGAAACAAATTCATCATACTCTTGTCCTTCTTTTCAAGATTTATCCGATTTACTTATTATATATAAATTTTCATCCTTAAAATTTTTAAAATGTTCCCATTCCCATGTCGCCAATAAATGATTTATATCTATATTATTTTCCTCTTCGATCAAAAGAGATTTAAACATAGGATCTAAATATAAGGCCAAACAAAGTAATTAATCTTAGCATTTTTTTCCCTTTTGTTGAGAGTTGAAATCAAGTCTTGTGATAATAGGGAATTTAGTTTTTGAAACCTTATTTTACATTTGGTCCATTCACCTATAAAGTCACCTGGAAAAATGCTCTCTTTTTAGAACATTAAACTTGCTTACAGCTCTAAGGAAACGATTATTTTTTTACAGTTTTCCAATCTTCATCGAAGAAAATTTTTTTTAGGGTGTACCATTTGTAAGGACTTAGAAAATAAAAAGAACTACGCACCTTAGATGGATTAAAAAAAATTATTTTTAATTATAGAATAAATAAATTTATATATAATTTCAGGAAGGCTCCGGAATACACGTTCCGGTTCCATAAATTTGCTCAAAGTTCCGTTTCATGTCCCTGGTTCTCAGTCATAAAATTTTTTCTTCCTCTTAAATATAATTTGTCAGGAGAGATCTTGAATTAATTGTATACAACTTAATTATTTTTTAGAGAATAATGATAAAATTTTAAAATATGTATATTTTTCTTTACATAATTCTAATACACTTATATACTAAAATGTTTGAATCGGTTTTTAAAGATTCAAATCGAATTGATTTATTTTTAAACCCTGAACCTTTTTTATCTGAACCGTACTGATATTTATTATGGTTTGGATCCCTGCGTGTTCTTTTCTAAATTTATTTTATATATATATATAATGGTAATAGTAATGTGTTTATTAAAATCAAATTAAAATCGGTGAAACTAATTTTTCTGTGTGAGATAAAGATTGTTCTGAGCAAAAGGTGTCCAAATACATTTTATTTTAATACAAAAGTTAATATTTACAAGTTTAATTTTTAATTAAACAATAATTAAATGAAAACCAACACTAATAAAAAATAACCACTTAGTTTGCTTCTACCCTTGATATCTTCAAAAGTATAAGAAGAAACTGAAATTATTCCCAAATATAGGTTATAAGAATCTTAGTTTATATGCTAAATTTATAAAAATCGTAAGAAGTCGTGATAAAATCATAATTTATTGATCAATTTGACATGTAATATCCCTTAATAAACCTTAAATGCAAGTAGTAATATTCGATCAATCAACTACATAAACTTAATATTTTGAACATAATACATAGAAAATTTTAATTATTTTAAAAGATGAAACTCTCAACTTAGCTAGGCAATACATGTCCATATACCATGGCTCCCACAATTATCATAACTATACCAGCGGAAAGTACATATTTAATCTTTTAAAAATAAATATAAAATCCTAATTAAGAAAAAAGAAAGTATAAATTGATGAATGAGATAGGACGATACAAAGATATAATGAGATCAGTGTTATTAAAAGGTGCCGCTACATTTTTCTAAAAACACCTGGAGTGCTGCTATTTTTTAAAACTCAGGAGCAGGAGTTAGCTCCTTTTTGGGATGGAGCCGAGGAGTCATCTTGCAGGCAGGGTGATAATATTAATTGAAATGAATTTTAGAGTATAAAAAGTTTTAGAATTAATCATCATATAAAATTTATTAGAACTAATCATCCTATAAAATTTAAAGAAAAAAAGGTCCTCTCATTTATGCTTGATTGGTATCATTGTCAAAATATACAGTATAATATATTTGGAAAAACTTGTAAAATATATTTTAAAGTATGCAATGTTTCCACTGTATTTCTTAGAGGATTATTTACAAAAATGAATCTTTGACACCATTTAAATTTAAAAATTAATTGGCCTTCAGATACATTTATATCCTCTGAATAAAATTTAGCTAAATATTTAATTTTTCAATATCAAGATTTGATATATACTCAGATCAGAGGGAGTTATTAAATATAGTATTTGTAAATTGGATAGAGCTATTTGAATCACAAATTGTTCATAGTTGAGTCAAAAAGGTATCCAAAAGTGGAATAAAAACGATTATTTTATAGTAATCCTCAAAATTGAATCCACGTTAGAGGTTTGCATTGGGTGGGGTTTCGGGTGGGTGGGCGGGTTAAGAAATTTAAGCAATGAACGGGTGGGCTAGAAAAATTTAAAATCATTTAAGTAAATATTAATTAAAAATGGTTCTTATGAACTTTTTGGATATTAAATATTAATAAAATGTCCTTTTTTGGTATAAAACTTTTTTTGTATATTAAAAACTACTTTGGTGGAAACAACAAGAAAGAGAAGATTTGCCAAAGCTATCAAGATTAGCAAGAAAAATATTGGCAATTCCTGCAACTAGTGCTTCATCTGAACAAGAATTTAGCATTGCTGGAATTTAAAACAAAGAAGAACATGTTTGAATCCAGAAAATGTCGATTCATTATTATTTTTGCATTATAATTTATTTTTTTTTGGTCATTTACTTTATTTGAATATTTATTGATATGATATGTTGTCAAAATGTAGTAGCAAATCATTAATTTTTTTAAAAGGTGAAAAATGTAGAAATAGAATTTACGGGGAAGGATAGGGGATAAAAAAAGGAAGCTAGGAATATGGAAGGTTATTCAATGGAAGAGATAAAACTTAGATAGTTAGAGCGAATAATGGCGGTAGCAAGTCTTTGGCGTAAAAAGAGGGATTCCTTAGGCTGATCGGTTTTTTCACGAATCTGTTTGCCTAATTCTTTTAAAAAACGCTGAGCTTTACTACCGAAGGTGGTGAGAATGGAGCAGGCGATGGGTATGAATAAGAAAGAAGGGTCTAAGAAACTGTACTTACATATAATATCAATTTTATATTTATATTTTTTCATAAGTATTTTATTTGATCAAATAAATTATCCATAATTTAAATTGAATATTTTTTTATGCTTAATATAGTAATTTTTATAATTATCAAACACCTTGTAGGGGTGTAATGCTGAAATATTTTTATTAGATGCTTAAAAAATTGAAAGAATGGCCATAATTAAATTTTATAATAGCGGGTTGGGTTAAAATTATTTTATAAATAATGGATGGCGGGTATAAATTTTTAGACTAATGGGCGGGCGAGTGGGTAAGGAATTTTAGACTAATGGGCGGGCGAGTTAAATTTTTAAAAATATTGGGTGGGCGGGCTAATGGTTCAAAAACCTGCCCAATGCAGACCTCTAGTCCACGTTAATACTGGAACAATTTGTTTGTTTATGAAAGTTGAGGCTTGTGAATCTTAAAATCAATAATCTCGCTTTCATCTTAACAATCACATAAATTTTGAGAAATTCCTGGTTCTTGGATTTCTAAGCTGTATTATAATATTCGCATAAATTCAGCCAAAACCATATCATTTTTTTAAAAAATATTTCATAAAATTGTTATATAATTTATTAATACATTCCCTTGAAAAAAAATTGGCAGTCATATTAAATCTAATAATGTATCAGCTTCAGATAAAATATCTGCTACAGGTCATTCTGATATTTCTCCAAGGGCATACAAAATAGGCTCCTATAGATCCAGAAAATGCTGTAGCAGTTTGATGTCGAAGGCTCCATCATATCGCGCAGGGTTTTTGCAGTTTCTTTTTTTCTGTATCACAAGAAGTATCAGAAATAATTATATCCAGCAGATTCTGTATATTTGGATATCTGAATATTTCATACACTCTAGAAATGTTCTAATTGTGGAAAAAATTAATAAGATTTTTTTTTGATCGATAAAATTTTCTTATATACATCAGTTCTTAAAGTTTAAAAAATCTAATACAAGGAACAAATATTTAAATTAATTTTAACTTTTTGTTAATATTAAGAATATAACCTGTTTTGAAATAGATTACTTTGCAATTCATAATTCATTAAACCCTTTTATATTTTTTCAAAGATTTTTGCTATGGGAAGGGGGATGGGGAATCCCCCCCCCCCATTGACGCGCCTGAGCCCTTTTATATTTTTTCAAGAAATTTTGCAATGGGTGGATGCCCACTGGCTACGCGCCTGCCCTCTTGTATACATTATATTTTAAAAATAATCTTAATTAATGTATTTGTTGAATACAATATAAATAATATTATATTTATGTAAATTTATGAAACTATTTAATTATTTAAAATAATATTTCTCACATTTTTTTAAATCAAATTATTGAACAAAATATTGTATCACTAAAATAAATTAAAACCAACTACAAGCTTGATCTCATTGTTTATTGACTATGTAATAGGTAGTGGTTCAACTGAAGAGATCGCCAAAGCATGCAGCATATTAAAAGACGGAAATGTCTCTATTGGTCTAAGTCTAAACATAAACAAACCAAAATTCTTCCCCTTTCAATCGGACTTGGAAATTAATTATAATTTTTAAAATATCTTAATAGATGACTTTTCAACTCAGGGCTCATATTGGTGGTGTGGGTGCTTTTGAACAATTTTTTATGAATATCTTATCTTGCCTCAAATAATTTGAGGAACTTTTATACTCTCTTCTAGCCAACAAGGCTTATTACTTAAACTTTTTTAATATCTCTAAAATTCTATATATGCCTTAAGATCCATTGCTATCTTCAAATTTACTGGGCAACTTAAAACTTTGTCGAAGACTTGCAATATTCAGGTCATCAAATCAAATTTCCATTGTCTAATTAACAGTTCCCTCTTGACTCTTTTTTTATTCTGATCTTACCCCTTCTTTCCTCTTTATATACAATAGCTTATATTTATTTACATTATTTTGTTACATTTGTCTATTTACACTTTTAAATTCTTGTTAATATACATATATACCTTTATATATAAGTAGATTTACTTTCTTAAATATAGTGTTGTTAAACGGCTCATTTTGAGCCGATTTTTAAAAATGGCTAACTTAATATTTTAGGCAGAAAAATATTGCCTAAGCCTCGAGGTTTCGTTAAAAGATGTCCAAATTTGTGTCATCTATTAGCAAAATCTTTAGGCTTGCATAATATTTTTTCTGAATAAGATATTGAGTTATGTGGGGCCCCCTAGCACAAAAGTGCTAGAGGACCCCGTAGCCACGCCGGGCCATCTTTATTATTGCTTAATTATCACATTATTAGACAATACTTACAATGGGAATATAATCACATTATGTTATAATCAGGTAAACAATATATATAAACAATTAAAGTGGTAAACAAAATCACGTTATCAACCAAGATGGTGGTGACTTTGTAATGTAATATGATGGGGTCTGAGATGCTTTAATCTTCAGATCATTGATTACCTGTGAGGAGTAAGAAAAGATATTTTTCTTTCTCTCCAAAGGAAGTATCCGTGGTATTTTGCCAGTGAGTTCCTTCTAAAGGCTACTCCCGGTTAGTACCCTTGGGTTCGTTCTAAGGGTTTACTACTTCTTTTGGATTGACCTTAAGGGAAAAGGTGGAATTTTTGCGTTGGCTGGTAATCTTACACAATGGAAAATTAATTAATGAAAATTTAAAAGATAATTTTTCCATTGCGTAAGCCTATATATATAGGCGAAAGACCTTATTTCTGAGAGCCTTCGCAAAAGATTTTTTCCCCCCTTAAAGATTTAAATTAGGTGTTATAACTATTTATTTACAATGATTCGTATATGGTATGTTGACTACAAAATTGGGGTGGAAAGGACCAAAAATATATGTGTGAATGCATGTTTTATTCTGAATGTTCCTCGTTGGCTTCCATTTCAACCACAGTTTCTGTGTTGCTTTCGTCCAGTGACGTTTCCATCTTGGCTTCAAAGATACCCGGATCGAAGCTATTGTGAGTGGCTTGTAGTCCTTGGTCAATAATGCCCTCCACTTCATCGGACAGATGAATGGGGGTTGAAGCTCTGATCCATGGTAAGGCATCTTCGATTCTTGGGAGTCCCGTGGTGTCTATCCCATGTAGCATGTTGTGGGCCCTTTCGCTACCTATCCAGGATCTGCTGGGTTCGTCTGCCAGGTTTTCCTCTGAGGGAATCCATGTGATGTTTCTTGCCAGGTGGACAAAGTCATGGAAACCCAAGGCTAACATGATTCTCGTGACCAGATGTTCACAAGCAGGGGACCTTGATCCCCCTTTCTTAATGATGGTATATGCTACCTGGCTGTCCGTGACTATGGAGGGAATGGCTGAGAATCTATTCATGCCATATCTGCAACCCGCCCATATGGCTAAAATTTCTTTCTGGTTTATGTGAGGGGTTGCAAGGTCCGGGATAAGTAAGTCATGCTTGATCTCATCGAAAGTGAATGAATATCCAGGTTGTCCGACTTCTGCTAATCCTACATGGCTCGATGAGGCGTCAACATGAATGATAGGTCCCACTGAGAATACGAAAGGGAAAGGTTCCATAAACGAGGAAATTGCAATAACTGCTTTTGGGTATGCCTTTACGTAATCTATAGGTGACGTTTCCTCATCGTTCAGCATTGTAGAATATAGGGGATCGGAACCTTGTGGATGAAGTTGCGAATCCAAAGAACCTTCTCCTACTTTGAGCTAATGGAATAGAATAGAAAGCAGATTTCAGATCGATTTTCGTGGCTTTAGTTGCTGTTTCTAGTAGTGGGGCAATCATAGGGATGGTTCTTAATCTAAAAGGATATCGAATGAAGTTCCTAGAAACGTTAGAGAAATCTGAGATAACCCTTGGGGTTCCTTCTGCTTTCGGTATTAAGAATAATGGTGAGCAGAAGGTCGCATCTGTCCTTTCGACGACCCCGCCATCCACCAACTGGTTGATGATGGGCATATATTTCGCGGCTAGCCTAGTAAACCTATTTCGGAAGTATCCTCCATTGTCGTTTATGGCTTGATTGTCGAATTTTGGGCAGAAACCCCTCAAAGCCACTCTCTTGGTATAAGGGGATTGATCTGGGTGGGGCTTCAGGACCGATGCGGATAACCCCAAGGTTGCTTGAATGTCGATCTGCACGTGGTCGGTGGTGTCGATTCCCATCAGTCTCAGGAGTCTATGAAATCTGCCGATCGAATCGCTGTCGACCGCTGGCGCTGGCGGTGGCATGACAGCGGTTACGTATGGTGAGATCCTATCCGCAAAGATATTGTTCATGATAATAGGCTCGCCATTGTGATCACTATATTTACGCCATCACGGGGCTCTCTAGAGTTTTCGCCCCCTATTATTCTACAATGCTGAACGATGAGGAAACGTCACCCATAGATTACGTAAAGGCATACCCAAAAGCAGTTATTGCAATTTCCTCGCTTATGGAACCTTTCCCTTTCGTAATCTCAGTGGGACCTATCATTCATGTTGACGCCTCATCGAGCCATGTAGGATTAGCAGAAGTCGGACAACCTGGATATTCATTCACTTTCGATGAGATCAAGCATGACTTACTTATCCCGGACCTTGCAACCCCTCACATAAACCAGAAAGAAATTTTAGCCATATGGGCAGGTTGCAGATACGGCATGAATAGATTCTCAGCCATTCCCTCCATAGTCACGGACAGCCAGGTAGCATATACCATCATTAAGAAAGGGGGATCAAGGTCCCCTGCTTGTGAACATCTGGTCACGAGAATCATGTTAGCCTTGGGTTTCCATGACTTTGTCCACCTGGCCAGAAACATCACATGGATTCCCTCAGAGGAAAACCTGTCAGACGAACCCAGCAGATCCTGGATAGGTAGCGAAGGGGCCCACAACATACTACATGGGATAGACACCACGGTACTCCCAAGAATCGAAGATGCCTTATCATGGATCAGAGCTTCAACCCCCATTCATCTGTCTGATGAAGTGGAGGGCATTATTGACCAAGGACTACAAGCCACTCACGATAGCTTCGATCCGGGTATCTTTGAAGCCACGATGGAAACGTCACTGGACGAAAGCAACACAGAAACTGTGGTTGAAATGGAAGCCAACGAGGAACATTCAGAATAAAACATGCATTCACACATATATTTTTGGTCCTTTCCACCCCAATTTTGTAGTCAACATACCATATACGAATCATTGTAAATAAATAGTTATAACACCTAATTTAAATCTTTAGGGGGAAAAAATTTTTTTGCGAAGGCTCTCAGAAATAAGGTCTTTCGCCTATATATATAGGCTTACGCAATGGAAAAATTATCTTTTAAATTTTCATTAATTAATTTTCCATTGTGTAAGATTACCAGCCAACGCAAAAATTCCACCTTTTCCCTTAAGGTTAATCCAAAGGAAGTAGTAAACCCTTAGAACGAACCCAAGGGTACTAACCGGGGGTAGCCTTTAGAAGGAACTCACTGGCAAAATACCACGGATACTTCATTGGAGAGAAGAAAAAAATCTTTTCTTACTCCTCACAGGTAATCAATGATCTGAAGATTAAAGCATCTCAGACCCCATCATATTACATTACAAAGTCACCACCATCTTGGTTGGTAACGTGATTTTGTTTACCACTTTAATTGTTTATATATATTGTTTACCTGATTATAACATAATGTGATTATATTCCCATTGTAAGTATTGTCTAATAATGTGATAATTAAGCATTAATAAAGATGGCCTGGCGTGGCTACGGGGTCCTCTAGCACTTTTGTGCTAGGGGGCCCCGCAGTCTAACTCATTATTTTAGCCAGGAAAATAATGTATAAGCCTTGATATTTCGCTAATACATGCTCAAACCATTGTTCCACCTATTAGCAAAATCTTCAGGTTTGCATAATATTTTTCTGGTTAAAATGTTGAGCTAGCTGGCTCTAATCGAGCCATTTAACAACACTAGCTCAAATCGAGCCTTTAATGTTATAAATTATATGGTATTATTATAAATGTATTTTAAATTATAATAAGTAAAGTCAATTAAGATATAGCTATATAAACTCTAAAAAAGGAAGGTGGAATGTTTGAGGATAAAACATCTTAAATGGATGAAGATTTTCAACTTGTGGTTATCGATGATATCCTGATTAACAAGTTAAAAGATTATACTTTTCTACTACAACATTCATTTGCCTGCCACAATATCAAATTAGTCGCCAGGGTTGATATAGATAGAGAAAGCTTTAGAATATAGAAAATTTAAAATTATATCCCAAAGCTTTTATTTCAAATGTGTCAATCCTTATAGAATAAACAAAATATGTGATACAAATATGGTTGATAATATAATCGCTGGGAAGATATTAAATGTGTCCAAATACCACAAGATGAAATCCATATTCAGAATCCATGGTATTAGATAAAATATTAAGCAAAAACTTCAAGATTTTGATATTTTATTTGTACTTCTTTAACTCTCAGGAGCATAAATTAATTAAAGAATATAGCCAAATAAATATTAATATAACGGTTATTTTTTCTAAGAGCTTTTGGCAAAATCTTTGAAGATCCTTAAAAGTGAGCTTCATATTAATATGGGGGTTTTTAACTCCAAATATTTATAGACTACTTTAATAAATGATTTTTCAGATGTTTTTCCAATCTTCTATGAGTCTCTTATACTCGGCATTGATAAAATGTTTAATTATAAAAAGAATTTTTTTTATCAAATTTAAAAATTTCTTTATTTATATTAAAAAATAGCATGATATATAAATTAGAGATCTGCATAAGTAGGCCCGGCCTTTTTTATAAAAAAATCAGGTTCGGGTTGGGTCGGACCTAATATTTTTTAAGAAAATTCGGGTCGGGTTGGGCCTTATAAAATTTTTAAATATATCTAAATTTATCAATTTTTTGTTGAATTTTTTATGTAAAATAAAAATATTTTATTTTTAGTAATTATAAATATTAATTTATATATTTAAATAAATTCGGGCCGGCAATTTTTTTTAAAAAAAATGCGACTTCGAGCCGGGCTCGAAAAATTAGGCCCGATGCAGATCACTAATATAAATTCATATTAAAATTATATTTTAAAAAAAATTAAGAAAACATTTAACAAAAATATTTAAGTAAATTTGAAAAAGACAAAAGATTTAAAAAAAACATAAGGAGGGGGCAAAAAAGGGCTCTCATTTAGATCCGAGGAAACTAAGATAATTGCCTCGAAACACAGTGATTTGTGTTGATTGTAACATTTTAAAAGAGGCTCCATGATCACCAATAATTTGAGAAAATTTTTTTACCTAAAATAATGATACTTATTGGTAGAAATAACTATTGGGATAAATTGATAATCAAAAAAGTTTTAGGAAAATTGGGAGACAAGTTATATATTTTTAAATTATTTTATTGCAGATTTTTAACTTATAATGATAATAATATCATTGCTCATATTATCCTTCCTCCATTCAAATTGAATAGGGAATGGGTAAACAGAGATCAAGATAGGAAATTAATTAATTTCAAATCCGAAAATATTTTTCAATGATTTAGAAGATTTAATTAAATTGATTATTAGGAAGATATTATAATAGGAAGATTTAATTTAACAAACAATACTATATTTGATAATTAATGATTTAAAAAATATAATAAAATACAATACCTCTCTTCCCTCTAGTTTTTTGTCGAGTGTTTGTTTAGTATTTTCAAACAGGTTTTAGGCGAAAGATGTAGATGCCTGTTAGATTTAAATTTAAATAAAAGATTTTAAATTTTTGATGCATCATTTTTTTGATTAAAAATATAAATAAAATGAATAAATTAAAATCAAAGGAGTGGCTAAATAGCCTCATCTTTTTTAAATTTGAAGAAAAGTGAGCGCGCACCTTTTAAAAACTCAGTAACGGGAGCTAGCTCCTTTTACAATGGTAAGATTAGGAGCTAGGTTTTTAAAAAGGAGTTAACTACTCTCAATAAGACACAAAAGAGAATCACAAATGAAACAATGTTATAAAATCTATTTTTTCCATTTCCTTATGAAATAATCTTTAAAATGATATTAATAAAATTAGAAAATAAATATATGTTATTTTTGTATTTTTAATAATTTATAAAATCAAGAAATCATTCAGATAAAAGTTCCATCAGATATATCATGAACACTGAAGTAATATTTTCAAAATAATTTTTAGGCTATTTCCAAACAAAACATTTTTTCAAAGCGAGAAAAAATACAGATAGATATATCCTTCGGAACATAAAATATTTTTAAAGCACGCTATTTGGCGTTTTTTAATTCAAACTATTGTGAACAAGTTATTTTTAACCCTTAATGCTAATATATCATAAAAATTACGACGATATAGAATTTTAAATAATTTTAGAACCAATCTAGCTTTAGACAAAATTTTTATTGTAAAATAATCATAAAACATCACTGAATACAAATATGTTTAAATAAAATTTAATATCATGTTCATAGTAGCATGCTTGGTGTGTCCGACAAATGTCTTTTTTTACAGTGTCCACAGATTGTGTCGTCATCTGCCTCAATTTTGATTTGCAAAATTTGCTAATCGTACGATTAGATTTGTGATAATTTATTTTTTTTCCAATGGGGTTTTTTCGACCCTTATACTCGGTATTTGTAACCACGGATTTATTAAATTTCATATAATTTTATGCAAATGGGTCTTCTTGATAATGGAATTAGATTTTTATTATTCATATACTTTTATATATAATCCAAGAATTTACAAGAACAATATTAATTAACCCATAAAAATGCATAATGTCCATCTCACCTTTTTCTATGGCAACAAAAGATTGACCATAATTGATCCAATGTGTCAACTCCACAATATTCTATTTGTTTTGGAATTATTCCATGATAGCAATGACAATTCCCGGTCATATAAACAAATAGAAGAATTAATTTCTACACATTTTTTCTAAAAGCATCTTATTTTTCCTTAGGGTTCCCAAAATTGTTAAATTATAAGGGTTCTTTAATAAATCATTAGCCATCATGATGGATATAAACCAATTGTCCATCATTTCTATTGGACCCCTATATTGCTAGAGTCACAGATCATGATTTTGATTCCATATTTTGCAGGTTTATTGGAAATATGCATCCAAAAGGAACATCTATTTATCTTCATAACAAATAGCACTCGAGTGGGAAAATAATCATTTTTCATGCAGACCTCGAGAATATTTAAAAATTAAATTTTTCTTCTAGATAACGTATCCTTTTAAATATTCAGTTTGCTTATTCAGCATATATAGACTATTTGGAAATAATTTCAAACGTTTTTATAATTTAATATGTAAAAAATATTAGCTTAATTTAAGGAACATTAGTCTTTTTGGCGATATTTTTTGATCAAATTATTTAACTATTTGAAATTAAAATATGGCTTAAAATATTTTGTAATATAAATCAGATATATAATAAAAGTCGTTTGTTGTTTGAAGTAAAAAAATAGTGAAAAATGTGCCTCTGAAAACGTTTTGTTTGGAAATGGCCTTATACCGTTTTTTCTCTTTAAATTACATTCAATTTTTCCTCAACTAACATTATTATCTGTATCTCCACACTTTGAACTCCAGGCCCTATCATTTATAGAAATATATGATAAATTCTGAAAGCCGGCCACTACAAGCTCGAGTAGAGTTTGGATAAATTAATCTGATTTCAAGCAGAAGTCTAAATAATTAATCTCAACCCTGAAAATGAGTCTAGAAAATCGACCCGAACATGAGTTGAAAATTAACTCCTGGGTCGATTTTTACTACTCGAGTTTTTTTATGACTTGTGTTTGGGTCTGAATATTTCTGTACTTAAAAATCAACCCGGGTTGCTGCGAAATCGATCCCTTTGGGCATTTTTACACCACTAGTAAATATTGTTTGCTTTATGTATTACAATCACATTATCGGTAGCAAGGATAAATATCTTATTCATGGCCGATTTTGGCAACACACCAAGTGTAATGGGCAATGCATTAAATCGGCGGACTTAGATACCAGGACACGGTGCTATTTTTTAAATCGAGGGCAAACATCCTGATGGAATACCTTTAATTACTAGGCAAGATCTGGTCACATTCTTCCTTTTCAAATATAACATGCATGATTTCTATACATGTTTCCTACATATTTCTATCTATATTATATTCTTTTGTTTAATAATTGGCTAGACAGATATGTTAAAAAATGGATTAACCTAAAGGGTACCTTTTTTTTAACAAATGATTTATAATGTTTACGTTATTAGAATTACCTTTTAAAAGTTACAGTCACATTTACTTTATATATTGTCTATAAAACTAATCATTTTTAGTATAAATTTTTATTATAAAAATTAAAAATAATTACATCATATAATGTAAAAAATTATACAGACTTGTTAACGATACTTTTAAAATATATCGAAATCATTAATTTTTTTTTCTCTTTAGCTTTCACCTTTTCTGGTGGTAAGCGCCTTCAACATCTCTTTCCACTTTATGTTATTCATACAATATCTTTTATCTAATTTATACTTCTTTATATTAGCTCTAACTTTATGGCCCCATTGAAGTTTTGGCCTTACTCTTTTACGTTTGCCTATCACTTCCAAACTCTCAACCTTATTTCCTATGTAGTTGGCCTTCTCATTGTGTGCCTATACCACCTAAGTCTGTTAACCATTATCTTAGTCTTAATGGACTACCTTTAAACTTCCTAGTATTCTTGTACTGCGCACTTTATCCTTTCTTGTTACCCCAGCAATCATCCTCAGCATTCTCATCTCCATAGTTTGTAGACTTCTCTCGTCTGATTCCTTGGTTGGCCATGTTTCCGAACTATATAGAATAGTTGGTTGTACTATGGAACTGTAAATTTTTCCCTTTAATTTGTGTGGGATTCTTTTGTCAAATAGAACTCCAGATAAAGATCTCCACTCTAACCACCCTTGATTAATTTTACTCTTTATCTCTTTTTCTATTGTGCCATTTGTTTGTATAGTGGAGGCCAAATATTTGCAGGTCAATTGCCGATATCTGCCATTCATTTATATTAATACTCTGTTTCATCTCCTCCTATCACCATATACTCCGTCTTTTCTCTATTTACTTTTAGTCCGTGCTTTTCTAGTATATTTATCCAACTCACTAATCTTTCTTTCATGTCATCCTTGGATTCGGCAAGTATCACAATATCATCTGCAAATATCATATTCCACGGTACTGTTTGAGTTATAGACTGTGCTAATACATCTATTACTGCAATGAAAAGAAGTGGGCTGAGAGCCGACCCTTGATGAACTCCTTTGTCTATTGTGAAGCCTGCTGAAGTACCTGTTGTGCTACGGACCATTGTTGTATGGCCCATATACTTATCCTGTATTATTCTTATATATTTTTCGGGAACCTTTTTGTGGCATAGCGCCCACCAGATAAGTTTTCTTGGGATTCTATCGAAGGCCTTTTCTAGATCGAGAAAGACCATGTGTAGCTTTTTGTTCTTTTCCCTGTATTTTTCACTCATTTGCCTAATTGCGTGGATAGCATCAGTTGTTGATCTTCCAGGCATAAAGCCAAACTGATTCTCTCCTATTTCGATTATGTCTCTTAATCTTTTTTCTATTATTTTTTCATATATTTTTAGACAGTGTGACATTAGTTCTATGCTCCTGTAATTTTGACAATTGTGTGGATCCCCTTTATTTTTGAAGATAGGAACTAGATAGCTCTGCCTCCATTTTCCAAGTATTTTATTGTATAGATTTGTGAGGAAATGTATTCCATCATCTCCTAGTGCTTTAAGGCTTTCTATTGGAATATCATCTGGACCCCTAGTTTTGTTGTTTTTTTCATATGCTTTAGGCATATGATTATCTCTTGCTCTGTTATTATAAATTCTAAAAAAGCCTGTCGATACAAAGGTTGCATAATATTTTGACACCAACTTTTTCATCATGGAATTTAAAGAAATATTCAAAGGTTTGCCAAGATAATTCTTGTTATACATATTGGATGTTGTAAGTGATTATTTATAAATAAATTTACAAGGTTATTTTTAATAAAAGATGCCTACATATACATAGAGCTCTATTAATATGTTTTCTCTAGTGATATATTTATATATATATCTTAGTCTTGAAATTTATCTTTCGACCGAAACCCATGTAGATGGGACAGACATTGCTTTTGGTGCTAATATGTAGAGTTAAGGTTGCTCTAAGTTTCTCCCAATATGGAATGGACCAATGACTAACAAATGTAATGTATTATAACATTATTATTTTAGAAAAAAAGGTTTTGTACAAGCGTTATATTACTTTGAAAATTTCTTTATATATATATATTTTAATATAGTATATTCTCAAAATATTATTTACTTCCATTTTTATATAGTTTTATAAATTAAAATATTTCTAATATTATGTAACAATTACATAAAATATAAGTATTCCTTAATTAAAAATAAAATTAAGTTTTTTTTTAAAAAAAAAATGAGAAAATGATGGCAGAAATTTTAAATAACATATTATTAACTACTAGCTAATAACCCGTCAAGAATGACGGGGTTGAGGGGTAATTAGTTTATTTATATATATGGTACTAAATATGCTTTATAGTAAAATTTAGGAGAAAAATAGATAAAATTGTTGCAATGTAACCCGTGAACATTAAGGATATTAGAAATATCAAAATTTAAATTTGTGATAGGAATCATTTGGGTAAAATTATAAATAGAGATGCTTCTAAATTTTTGAATTTTAAATATGGGCTAGGCATTGGTCTCAGAATTTTGTTTTGTAGACACAGCAGGCCTGATCAAAAAACCACGTCCCATGCAACTTTCCCAATATTTTGCCATTTATTTCTATTGTAATTTAATATAATGTCTTAAATTTAATTTTATATTTAGAATAAAATTTAAATTTGTGATAGAATTCATATTGAATAAAATTTAAAATAGAGATGCTTGGGAATTTTTTAATTTTAAATATGGGGTAGACATTGACCTGAAAATTTGTTTTTGCAGACATAGCCAGGCCTGATCAAAAAACCAAGTCCCATGCAACTTTCATAAAATTTTGCCATTTATTTCTATTGTAATTTAATAACAATGTCTTAAATTTAATTTTATATTCCATTTATTTCTATTATA